TAGAGAATAAATTTAAAAAGAAGTTATTTTTATCTCTGCCAGCACAGTGACACAAGGACTTGCCTTTAGCTTCTTTTTATAGTATAGTAGAAGACTTAGCCTGCAGGAATCCACGTGAGGCATCTGACATACACTAGGAAAACCTTGACTTCAGGCCAAAAAGACCTTCTGAGCTGACTTGATAGAATCTAAGAACTGTAGGCTCATTGGAATGTGCTTTTCCACCCCCATGCTTCTGGACTCTCAACCCGGGAACAGATGGATGAATGAAGAACATTGTCTTCATGATCTCTGGAATTTGTGAGTGCTGCACACAGGGTTGGAGAGTTTGGGACACCATGTGTGCCCTGAATGGACATGAGGGTCTCAGCTTTCTCGGTAGAAAATTTTACTAAAGGCAGCTATTTTCTCTTCTGCATGGACTTCAAGTGGGCATTTCTCCTACAGGACTTCTCTAAAGATTCTGGGTAAGGCTATCAGATGGTAAAGGGTTAAAGAGTTATCAATTCAAATCATCTCACGTTTGAATGGGCTATCATTAAATTCTTATAAAAATTTGATTTCCTCTGAGAGAGTTTTCATCTAACATTTATATAACACAGAAATGGCCTGGGGAATCTTGCGTGGCCACAGAACTCATCAGACCATGAAAAGCATCCTTTGTCCCCCTAGTGGGCAAAATACTGTGCTGCCTCTCTCTACTCATGGGGTTCTCCTGGGAACAAGGATGAAATATTCAAATCTTGTTTACTTAACCTTGCCAGAAATTGCTTCTTTGCTAAATCCTGCATTTCTGGCAATGATCCTTATGGATATGTGGATTGCCAAGGCTCTGGAAAGTCTATTTCAAATCTCCCTGGTTAGCCAGAGGAGTAGAGAAGCCCAAAGCACACTGTGAGTCAGACTCCCCATTCATAGGCACAGAGAAGCTGTCGAATAGATATATAATCGAGACAGCGGACCCACTCGAGGAAATTCTCTGCTTTCCATCGGCCATAGAGAATGAGAACAATAGGCATCAGTGGTCATATTTGCCCTCTTAGTCAGCCTGAGTTGACTTTTTTTTCCCCCACTCAGAGACTTGAATCTGTACTCCAGTCAACTGATATGTATTAAATCCCTACTTTGAGCAAAGCTCATGGTAAGGAATACAAAGAAGAAATAAGATACTGACCAAGGCTTCTTTGAAGCATGCCTTCTGGTTGAAGTGACAGGTCACAGCATAAGGGCACATATCTGTAAGGCATAATGGCTACGGTTGAGTGTGGTTCTAAGAGAGGCTGGGTTATATAGGCTAGGGTGTCAAGACTGGCTTCTGAGAGGCTGGAAATTTGATTTGGATTTTGCAGATTGGTACAGTTCCATTAGGTGTGATGAGTAGGAAACTTTTTGTGAAAAGAATGCTAGGAGCTAAGGGATGGAATTCAGGGGATTGGGAGGTGTTAATGATTGGTGTTTGTGTTTGCTTGGTACCAGGCGAATGCAGATACATTTGCCTGTTCACAGCTCAACAGCAATTCGTAAGATTGAAGTTTCTTCATTTTGTAGTTTGCCCAGAATTTACTCAGAATTATACAACTGATTTGAGGATTGTGGTTTTCCAAAACTATACCCTAAACAGAGTAAGTATGCCATTGAATTAAAGCAGAAGATTTTGAAAAAGAAATTGGAAAGAGATGATGTTAGATGATATATCTATATTCAGCCTTGAATAAACTGTAATTTATTCTAATTGCTGACCTTTCGTCAGTTATTTGATTTCACTCAACCTCCGCTTCCTAGTCTGGAAAATTAAGATATTATCAACCTCACTGGAATTGTTCAAAGGATTATAATGTAGATTATACATAAAGCACTTAGTACACCAGTTGGAATATAGTAAGCACACCTAGTAGACAGTAAGTGCACCTAGTAGAAAGAGTCTTCTGGCAGGGTTGGGAAGGGGTTCTCTTGGTGATACTTGGGGGATCATGCAGTGCCAAAAATTAAACATGGGGTTCCAATATATAAAACATTCACTCCAGTCCATTGAGCTAGCTTTCAGCTAAATGCCTTGGAACATTTTTATTATTTCCAAACTGAGGAAGATGAACTTTACTTTGGAAAAAAATGAAAGCTGGTCTGGAGCGATAGTACAGCCAGTAGGAATCTTGCCTTGCACACAATCAGCCTAGGTTCAATCCCCAACATCCAGTATGTTCCCCCAAACCCCACCAGGAGTAATTCCTGAGTGCAGAGCTGAAGAGCTAGAAGTAATCCCTGAGCATCATGAGTGTGACCCCAAAACAGAAAGAGAGAGGGGGGGGGAGGGAGGCACAGCAAGAGACAGAGAGAGAGAGCACTACTCTTACAGGTTCTTCATCAGAGGACTGGCCTAACAAAAGTCATATTTTAGTTCAGTGAAGAGAAAGCACTGGTGTATGATGATGTGGGCCTGAATTAGGGTAGAGGTGCTAAGAACGAAGAAAGGGAGTTATTCAAAATGTGTAAAGGTCATCAAGGAAATCCTGCCTCTCATTCTGCACAAACCCTCTCTCCTTAGCATCCAAGCTTGCTCAGTCAGGTGACTATCTTTGCATCTCTCCATCGGACTTACAGGCACAGGGCTCTTCACCAGGGCCTGCACAGAGCTCGCTGGGAATGTTTGCCAGTTCAAGGGCAGCCTGGCTAGGCCAGCAGCAGTTCCCAGCGGAAGAAGCGCCCCTGCACGTGCAGCCTCCCAATCAGCCGCTTTTGTCTGGCTTCCATGTCCTCTTCCCTCCCAATTGAATTTAATGTCTTGCCATCCGCTGTCTCTGGTTAAACTGTAACTGCTGTTCTTCCGCTGCAGCCAGGCACCTGCCAGAGTCTCTTGGCACCAAACCCAGAGCCCAGCCTGCCAGGCTCTCTGTTGCTGAACTTCTTGTCAGATGCAGGGAGGAGGAGGCGAGTCACATGCTTTTCCTTCCCCAATAGTAGCGGCTCCCAGTGTGATTGTGATGAGGGGGAGAACGTGGGGGCAGAATTAATTTGATGCCTGCTGATAGAATGAAATGGCAATCAGGCAGATGGTCTTCTCTCTCCATGGATTCTTCTCTGGTGTTTCTTCTCAGGTTCTGAAGAGGATAATGGAAGGTCAAGGAATTTCCATCTCTGGGTCCTTTGGGAGAGATGAGGAATTTGTCCTAGACTTACAGCAAGCTATTGTTGTGAAGAGGGGATTTTGTTTAGTCCAAGATTTTCAGAATTTTTTTCCCTAGCAGAAGACTTATTTCTTTAAATCATACCTTTCTTACAATCACATTTTTTTAAAACACTTTTTAAATTTTATTTATTTATTTTGGCGATTCTCAGGGGTTCCTCCTGGCGGTGCTCGGCAGACCATATGGGATGCTGGGGGTCGAACCTGGGTCAGCCATGTGCAAGGCAAACGCCCTACCCACTGTACTTCCACTCCTGCCCCACATTAATTATTTTTAAAAAGTAGTTGGTTGGTTGGTTGGTTGGTTGAAGCAGGGATAGGTAGCTCCAAACTCCAAAGTCAGACTGGACTGACTTTTCATTCTCTTCTTAAGGGCAGCCTGAGTACTGGCACAGAACCTTAGAATTAGAATCTGGTATGTAGCTGAAAAACCAGATATGCTCATCTGATGGTTGAAAAGATGGACGAGGGAGTGGAGAATAGCTTCCAAATTACTGATTTCCCATCCATTGTTGCTGCTGCCTGTTCCTTACCATTCTTCATATTTTCCTTTTTTTCCCTTTATTTTCTCTTTTTTTCTTTAAAATTTTCTCTAAAATATTCGAATTTGGTGTCTTGCACACGACCAACCCAAGTTCCATCTCGGCATCCCATATGGACCCTCCAGCCCCACCAGGAGTTATTCCAGAGTGCAGAGCCAGAAGTAACCCCTGAGCACCACCAACTGTGACCCAAACCAAAACCAAAACAAAAAAAGTGAAGAGTCATGGAGTAATAGCACAGCGGTAGGGTGTTTGCCTCGCACACGGCCGGCCTGGCCGAGCCAGGTTTGATTCCTCCATCCCTCTCGGAGAGTCCGGCAAGCTACCGAGAGTATCTCGCCCTCACGGCAAAGCCTGGCAAGCTACACAGTTGTTACTGTGTTTGGCTATATGCCAAACACAGTAACAACAAGTCTTACAATGGAGACATTACTGGGCCCGCTCAAGCAAATTGATGAACAACAGGATGACAGTGCAATGCTACAATAATAAATTAAATGTCAGAATTTCACTATATGATCTGAACTTTCCAAGGAAGGTTTATGTTTAGAAATTTGGAGATTTAAAAATACAATTTCTGTGGAGCACTTTACTTTTCATTATCTACTGAGGGAGGCACATTTAGTGGTGTACAGGGGCTATTCCTGGATCTGTGCTCAGGAGTGACTGCTAGCAGGGGTCAGGGGACTACCATTTGTGAGGCTGAGGACTGAACCAGAATTGCAGCCACTTTGGAAACATGCAAAGCAGTATGCCTTCCCTCCTGTACATTCTGAAGAGGGAAGGCACTTGAATTGCAGACTCTAGACCTTAGCTGAGACTTGTCCTAGAATAGTGGGAGCTGGTGGGGGAAATAATTGAGAGTTATCTCCCCTTTCTCTTCTTCTGCCTATCAGTCTGAGTTTGTGTAAGTTCTTGTAATACTTATGATTTTTCAAACCCAGAGTGATTGTATAGTAGTATCTCCAGACAAACCCCCATTAGAAGATTCTATTTAACTCTCAGCTCTTCTCATGCTTACCAAATAGCTCTGGATAGCATATAATTAAGCCATTTCATGGTGTCCCAATGAGACCTCATCGTTTTAATCACCTCATAGTCTGGAGTGTGTTTTGCCATTGAACTAGGAGACAGCTGAGAATCTTCCCTCCATCTCAGAGAATATCTGTCTTCCACTATACTACAGCCAGTCTCCTGGGCCCACCTTGGGCCCACCTACCTCTCCTTCAGGCTTGGGACTGTGCATGTCTTATTCTTGTTCCCTTTCCTCCCTACAGCAGTGTTGTGATTTAGGCTACCATGCTAGCCTCAACCGGGCTCTGCGTACCTTCCTTTCTGCTGAGTTGAATCTGGAACAGTCAAAGCATGAGGGTCTGGATGCCATCGAGAATGCTGTAGAAAATCTGGATGCCACCAGTGACAAGCAACGCCTCATGGAGATGTACAACAACGTCTTCTGCCCACCTATGAAGTTTGAGTTCCAGCCTCACATGGGGGACATGGTAAGTCCCTCTTTCCATCCCCACACCCCACACCCCTCCAAAGGTTCAAGCTCACTGTACAGTCATTACATTGCACCATTATATTGTTCTGAGGTTTGCGGCCACACCGTGTAATACTCAGGCATCACTCCATGTGGTACTCTAGGATCATGAAGTATTAGATCTCTTGAATCAGCCTGGGTCAAAGCATGCATTCTGACCCATTGAGCTATTTTCCAAGTTCACAATATTTATTGTTAGAGTGATTTAGTGCTGACTTCCTGTCAGATCAATGTGACACATTCTGCACTTTCAAGGAAAAACTCTCTTCTTGGCTTGACCTTAGACATGGGGGATTACAACCCTCACAGAGCTTATGATCTGGAGGGTTGAGAGAGTTAGGAATAGGGAGAGGTAACCAAAGGGACCAGCAGGATCAGAGGAGGTGAAAAATGGCAGAAGTGTTTGGTTTGAAGAGTTCAGTTTGGTGTTTGGTGTAAGGGGGTTGTGAGGACGCAGTGAAGTGGAACAGCACTCATAGTGATGAGGCTGAAGGAAGTAAAAGTTGAGGGCAAATACTTTGGGTTGGAGAGATAGTACAGCAGGTAGGATGCTTGCCTCACACATGGCTGACCCGGGTTTCAATATCCCATATGCTCCTCAAGGCACCACCAGGAGTAATTTCTGAATTGAAAGCCAGGCGTCATCCCTGAGCATCGCCAGGTGGGGCCCCAAAACAAACAAACAAACAAAAAAGAATTGAGGGAAAATAGTAAAGGTATTTGTTATAGGTAGGAAGGAGTATAATTTGTAATCATACAAATTTTTGCTTGGATATTGAACATAAAAAAAAAAATTGGTGCCGGGGCTGGAGCGATAGCACAGCGGGTAGGGCGTTTGCCTTGCATGCAGCCAATATGGCCGACACAGGTTCGATTCCCAGCATCCCATATGGTCCCCCGAGCACCGCCAGGAGCAATTCCTGAGTGCATGAGCCAGGAGTAACCCCTGAGCATCGCCGGGTGTGACCCAAAAAGGAAAAAAAAAATAGGTACCTCTATAAAAGACAACAACTACAGGTTAGTCTGTTTATTTGTTTTTGTTGGGAGGAGTTTTGGACCACATCAGGGATAACTCCTGACTCTGTGCTCAGGGTCACACTTCTCAGAGGGGCATATGTGGTTCTGGGATTGAACCAGGGTTGCAACATGCAAGGCAAGTGCCTTACTCCCTGACAGTCTCTCTAGTCCTGAGGAGATTATTCTGATGACCTGATGCCGGTGCCCAGGCAGGTGAATATAGGGACCCTCTTTTGGTCTGTATCTCCACAGAGAGAGATGCAAAGGGCCTAAAGAAAGTGAGAGAAAGAACCCTTTCTTTTTTTTTATTTTTTGAATATTTTATTTCTACTTCTGAAGGTTTTGCATAACATATCTGATTGCCTGTGGAAATAAGAATCACTATTTAAACTACCGATGAAATCAGAAGGAGGTGTTTGGACTTATATCACAAAAGCTTGGCATGGATTTGTAGGTCTGACTGGAATTAAAAGTGGAGTTTTATTAAAACTCAAAATTTTTCTCTCTCTGTTCCATATCCTGTGTGCTCACTTCATTCTCAGCCTAGTATCCAGTGGAGGCAAGGTGACTTTATTTCCAACATTATCCACTTGTGGGTTGAAATCCAGCAGGATGCGTATCTGGATCCCTTCTAGAAGTTCAACATGGAATAGCATGTGTTTCCTTGGCTCTGATTGGGTGCTTACCCCTGAACCAACTACTGTATCTGCAGTTCATTGACTAATTGCTCATGCCCAGATCTTACGCTCCCTCCTCTTAATCGAGTATAACTCCATTCAAATTACATGACCTAAACTGGGATTTGTTTGGTTGATTTGAAGGAGTGAAGTCTGGGCTACACCCTGTGGTGCTTAGGAGCTACTTCTTGGCTCTGTGCTCAGGGGTCACTCCTGGAGGTGCTAGGAAGATCATAGGGTCAGCTGCATGCAAGGCAAGCTCCTTAACCTTTGTACTATCTCTCTAGCCCACAGCCTGAATGATTGAGTTGGATGGTCTCATCGACAGTCAGACCAAAATCACCAGAAAGATGTAGGGATGGAATGGAGCTCAAGTACTAGAGCATACGCCTAGACTTTGCAGGACCCTGAGTTTTGGGAGACCAGAAATCCACAATATCCTTTCACAGGGATTGTCATCCAGTTTCTTTAGAAAATTCGGCTCCAGAGTGACAGCTGTTGCAATGTAGCTAAAGGATTCGCTGTCATTCATAAGCCTCAGTGGAGAGGGCAACATTTCAAAGGAGCCTAAAGACAAAAACGTAGAGATGATTTCTTTCCCTGCCTTTCTTGGGGAGAACCAAGCCATTTACAGTTTGTTTCTATTGCTATGACTTAGAAAATGTCAGCTTCTGAACAGATGGCAAAGTGAGATGGCAGCCCATGCAATTAGAGTAGGGGAAGGTGTGTCACCAAGCCCCAGGAAGCCCCATTCCCCACCTTCCCTGGCTTCTGGTCAAATTTGCCTTCCAAGTTCATTCTCCAGCTGCTACTGAAATTCTCAAGAATCAGGGGAACTTGGGGACTGAGTGGAGTGATACTTTTTCTGGTGTTACTGAGTAGTCTTCTGAGCCAAACAGCTTGTCTCTATAAAGGGGAAATCCAAGCGCAGGGTGCTCGGGCCCCTTCCTAGCTCTGTCAGAACCTCATTTCCATACTTCAGAGTACAGCTGGAATGTATTACCTTGCACCCTGGCAGAGAACCACTGCCAAAGCATGCATCAGCAGCTTTGCTGCTGCTTAAAGGAATAAGCATGTATGTGGTTTTCCCTCAGTGATTCTTCCCTGCTAGGTCTGGGTCACTTTAAACATCAATACTTTTTTCTTCTGCCTACATTTTTTTTATGATATATTTGATCAGTGGCTGAGCCATAAAAGAGGCCAAGGCCATTCCTAGGTCTTGCAAAGTTCCCACATTCCAGCCTAGCCTTCATTTGAGTGGAAAATAACTAGAGGATGATGGGGCAAGTCTTTGTTCATCCCTGTAGCTAGTCTGTTCCTTGTCAGTGTGGGTTGTCTGTGGACCGTGGAGGGAACAAGAGGGGCGGTGCCTGGAAGTCCTTGAACTAAAGCCAAAGTGCGCGTGGCATTTTGACTCGAAGCCCTGAAATTGGCGAAGGCCTCATAAGGACTGGTGTTCTGGGGTGCTCAGCACATGGATCGGAGCCAAGTGTTATCAGATCTATGAGGAGGAGGTACTTGGCTCTACCCTTGGTGCCCCCAGAGGCTTGTGCAGCTCTGAATGCCGGACTGGTGACATCAGGCAGCCAGAGAGTTTCACTTTTGGCACTAACCCATCCTGGTCACTGAGCTTTCTCCATTGTGTCTGCTTATCCAAGAACTAGAATGAAGTCAGCTCTCTCCAGATCCAAGAGCTGGCTCAGGGCACCCCTCAGCTGGGGGAGGAGATTAAGTCAGTTGGTTGCTTGAAAGGCAAAGAAGGAAAATGTCAAGTCCTAGCCTCTTCCATTTGAAAGAGATTTTGTCTTTCAAACAAACAAACAAAAAAAGTCAGTGATTCTGATAAGGCCCCCACTTATTTCTGGAGAAGGAAGAGTCCGGTGCCATCAGGATAGCTCTCTCTAGACACTAAGGGAGACTTCCTTGGTGGCAGAGTAGCAGGAACTGCCTATGTATAGGCTCTGCGTCCAAATCTGCCCACCTTCTATTCCTTTCCTCTCATTCTGGGGACTATGGGTGACCTCATGCCCATTCCGTAGTTGTACTCTCATCAGAGCATGGGTCACAGCCATCCCTCCACCCAGGAGAATGTCACTGGCAGTGATTCCTGAGAGAAGAGCAACTTCCCACACACTGATCTGGTGAAGAGCTTTGGTAAGATGGTAGAACTTTGAAAATGCCAAGCTATCCTGGATGCCACACCCTCTAGTACCCTCTGCTATAGTCTGGGGCCTTGTTCCCAGCTTCACACCTCCTCGTTGACTCAGAGTTCTCATGCAGGGGCCAGATTTATAAATACTTATTGGCTGCCAACAGCAGCAGTGTAGCCGCCTGACCTACTTCTCTCCTGTTTTTACTCTGGTGTAGGATGGGGGTGAAGGAGGGGCCAGAAAGGTGGCCTCTTGGCCACCTAACAGGAAATTCTCGTAGTGCCAAAGCATTGTTTATCTGGAGTTGGGGCTGCCCAAGGCACTTCCTGGCTGCCTCTAGTTTCCATGGACCCCGTGAGGCCTGACCCTGCAAAGCACCAGCCTAAAACTAGATTCCAAAGAGACATGGTCTTTCTTGACAGGCCTCACTCCTCATTCGTCTCATGTGTTGTTTGGTCCTTGAAGAGGTACACACGCTTTGGCTTTAGGTTGTCTTTAACACAGAAACTGCCTTACGGCTTGACTAGGTGTAGTTGTGTTATCAATAACAGGGCTCTGGAACTTTTAAAAAAGAATTCTGTCCTCCTCCTGACCTAGTATTGGTTTTTTTTGGCAGGCTTCCCAACTCTGTGCCCAGCAACCTGTTCAGAGCGAGCTGGTACAGAGATGCCAACAATTGCAGTCTCGTTTATCCACCCTGAAGATTGAGAATGAAGAGGTGAGTTTCCTGCCTGCCGACGAGGATCCGAACTACCCCTTGGATTTCCCTCTCGAAACGCTTGCTGCTGCCTATCTGGGAGCAGGTGGAAGGAGCATGTAGAGAATGTCCGGGCTTCTGCAAACATTTCCTAGCCAAATGGAGGCTTGGATTTTCCCCCCTCTGCTACATCCTGCCCTTGAACTGCAGGAAGTTGCTCTTGGACTGCCAAAGGTTGAGCTCTATTTTGAGCTTTTGCAAAATGCTTTTTTTCTCCTTCTACATTTAATCAAAATGGCATTTGGCAGCTGTGTGAACAATATTGTGTCTCTGAAACCACCCCCTCATGCCTGGCTTTTTCCAGAATATTCAGACAAATAGAGTCCTTTGACTTTAACACTTCAAACATCTCTGTCCTCGTTCGGAAGGGTGACTTTCTTCTGGGATCTGGGTATTTGCTCTCAGCAACTAATTGAAAAGAGCATTATGATTGATTATCTGCACTTCCTTCTTTGAACTTACATGGCACCGCACCTGGCATCTCAGTAAGATGCACTTCCACCAAGTGGATTAGGAAGGACTAGATATGGACCACTTAGTTTGCATGTAGAGAAACAAGCTCAGTTACTTCTTAAAGATTGTGAAACAGAACCTGAAACATTGCTAGAGTAACTCTTCATCCACTAGAATTTGTTTCTTTCCCTTAGCACTCCATTAAAGATTGAGTTTATGTTAGATTGTTTTTTTAAATAGGCATTAATAATAGCTCGAGGTCAGGCTGTGACATGTTAGGTCCTCATTGGAAAATGTAGGTAACTGATTTGTTTTTGTGCGTTTTTGCCTTTTGGTTTGTGTTTGTTTGGGGGCCATAATCAGCTGTGCTCATGACTTAACTCCTGGCTCTGCACTCAGGAATCACTCCTGACAGGGCGCAGGGGACCATGTGCAGCGTCAGGGATCCAGCCCCTGATTGGCTGTGTGCAAGGCAAGTGCCTCACCCACTGTACTATCTCTCTAGCCCCAGGGAAGCATTTTATAGCAGAGTCTGTGTGATGGTTGTCACTCAGGAGAAGTCGAGGAGAAGAAGGATGCCCCCCTGCTAGCGGTCCCCTCCCTTCTTCCTCATTTCTCACTTTTCTAACACCTGCTGTTTTGCCACCTGCCTCTCATGCATTATGTCGGCCCTTGTCATGGCAGGTAAAGAAAACAATGGAGGCCACGCTGCAGACTATTCAGGACATCGTGACAGTTGAGGATTTTGATGTGTCTGACTGCTTCCAGTACAGCAACTCTATGGAGTCGGTCAAGTCCACAGTCTCAGAAACGTTCATGAGCAAGCCCAGCATCGCCAAGAGGAGAGCCAACCAGCAAGAGACAGAGCAGTTCTATTTTACGGTGAGAGAGCTCTTTGGCATATAAAAACTATCAACAGGCACTGTGGCACACAGGGGAGATTGAGAACCAGTTGTTGTTAAATTAAATCATATAAATTTATATTATTGCTTCGTGTTGTATATATTCTTTATATATTACGAATTATATATATAAAGAATATGTTTCTATTATAAATTAAACAATTTAATTTATTCCACAGAAGGGCAGTCTGAATATCCTAGATTTAGAGCTAACTCTCTTCTGAAATCACTCCTTACTTAGGGTTGAATCTACAAATTGTCTGACAGAAATACCCACGAGAAAGGATGTTCTCAAGTACACTACCAAGAAGATTTTGTCTGTTTCCTTGTTTGTTTCTGCACACTCAGCAGTACTCAGGGGCTCCTTGACTTGATGCCAGTGATCACTTATGGCAGTGCTCAGCGTACTGTGTGGTGCCAGGGGTCACACTCGTGCCTCCTACACACAGAAGTATGCATTCCAATTCATTGAGTTGTGTCTTCTAGCCCAGATCATTTCTTTTTCAAAAATAAATTTTACCAACAAGTTACCTTTCACTTGAAAGTTTCTTTTTAAAGTCCGTATTCTTTTCTAAGTGATGCAGTTATGCGTTTTGAATGAATGAAATTGTTCATGATCATAGGTAAAGTTCAAAGGGGCATGTAATATGCAGCATTACCGAGGACTCCAAAAACATTGTTGTTTGGGGGGCTGGAGCAATAGCACAGTGGGTAGGGCGTTTGCCTTGCACGCGTCCGACCCGGGTTCGATTCCCAGCATCCCATATGGTCCCCCAAGCACTGCCAGGAGTAATTCCTGAGTGCAGAGCCAGGAGTAACCCCTGAGCATTGCTGGGTGTGACCCAAAAAGCAAAAAAAAAAAAAAAATTGTTGTTTTGTTGTGTTTTTTAGGCATGTGTACTGGATTTTCTAAGTAGTGTTAATAGTTCTTTAGAAGGTCATGGATATCTTTGGGACTGCATTTTAATAATTAAGTCATTTTGAGCTTGCCAAGTAGGATTTATTGCATGGATAAAATTTATTTCCTCATCTTCTGACAACCAAGAAAGGAGAAATTAAGTTTGCAGATGTGAGATGAAATATAGCCAGTGAATATGCATACTGATTCTGAATGTGAGGAATTAACTTGTTTTTCAGTCAAGAAAGACAGTCTGCTTGCAGTAAATTGGATTTTTCTTCCAACTGGAACAATTTGTTTAATTTTTCTTTGAACACTGCCCTTTCTTCATTAAGAACACTAGTGATTTGCTATCTGTTTTTAAAGAAAAATCTGTTTTTTAATTAGTTAAGCTAAGAATGCTTAAGATTTTTTTATCCTGCAAAAGGCTATTGAAAGAGACTGATTTAATCATATAGTTCTTTCTTCTCTACTCTCTTCTTCTTCTATAGAGAGAAACATGCTTGTTGTATAAAATTTAGAAGCAAAAAGAAAACCAGGGCTGGTGCAATAGTATAGTGGGTAGGGTGTTTGCCTTGCACGCGGCCAATCCGAGTTCAATTCCCAGCATCCCATGTGACCCCCCTGAGCACTGCCAGGAGTAACTCCTTAGTGCAAAGCCAGGAGTAACCCCTGTGCATCACCAGGTGTGACCCAAAAAGCAAAAAGAAAAAAAAATAACAAAAATCACCCATAATCCCACTACCTAGAGATAGTATGTTAGGATCTTTTCCTTTCTAGACATTTTTATGCATACGCAAACACCATATATTTGTAATTTTATCACAAAAATGCAATATAGAAGATGGTTGCTCTGAGGACGTGAATCTCCCACCTCCCAACCTGCCAGCTTGTTGCCAATAAAGCTCTTTCTGAACCTATTTTTAAAAGGGGGGGGGGGGGATCTTGCTTTACATAATGCTTTATAATCTGCTGCTTTCATTTTGATACTTTTCTGATTTATTTAATTATAAAATTCTTTAAATATAGGGCAAAATTCTAAAATCTATACAAAAAATGGAATGCTATTTTGGATCATGTTCTCATTTTTTTGTGAAATATTTAGCATATCTCCTTATTTATGGTGTTTGGTAAATAGTAAACATTTATTATCATCATCATTATCCATTTGTTTACCCATCGTTGTTAAATTGTTCATTGCTATTTATTGAGGATCTATTATGTGCCAGACACTGTTATAAAATGAACATGCTATCACTATCACCCTGTTGTTCATCAATTTGCTTGAGCGGGCACCAGTAATGTCTTCGTTCTTCCCTGTCACGCGCTAGTGTAGCCTGATGGTATAGTGGGGCTTTTTCAGGGTCAGGGCAATGAGGACCATCATTGTTATTGTTTTTGTCATATTGAATACACCACGGGTAGCTTGCCAGGCTCTGCCGTGCGAGTGGGATACTCTTGGTAGCTAGCTGGGCTCTCCAAGAGGGATGGATTGCAATGGATGAAAATGCAAAAATTATAAAATAAAAATGAATAAGATTCGATATATAAAGGCCCTCCCGTTGATCGTCGATTTGCTCGAGCGGGCCCAGTAACGTCTCCATTGGAGACTTTGTTGTTACTGTGTTTGGCATATCGAATACGTCACGGGGAGCTTGCCAGGCTCTGCCATGCGGGCGAGATACTCTCGGTAGCTTGCCGGGCTCTCCGAGAGGGGCGGAGGACTCGAACTCGGGACAGCCATGTTGGCCGCTTGTAAGGCAAACGCCCTACTGCTGTGCTTTTTACTTAGTATACTTCTAAATTAAGTACAACAGATTGACTTTTGTGACTGTAATTAAGAGAGAGAGAGAAAGAGAGAGAGAGAGAGAGAGAGAGAGAGAGAGAGAGAGAGAGAGAGAGAGAGAGATCGCAGAGAGGACAGAGAAATGACTTAAAATGCTGAGTGCTGAGCTCATGCTTTGCCTATGGGCAGCCCTGGTCCCAACCCCAGAGCCACGGGATACCCTAAGGACCTCTTGAGTGTAACTGCCAAGCACAGAGCCAGGAGCAACCCCCCAAGCACCATCAAGTATGAGTCAGAAATTCCGGCCTTCCCTCCCCCAAAAATTGATGCATATATAATAAATGGCAACCAGGACTAAAGGAGTTAGAAAAACATCACACACAGAGTATTATGTTAATCGTAAGGGATTGGGCCACAGAGAAATGGGAGGAACGGCATTCCTAGAGCAGAGTGCATCATATTCAAAAGCTTTAGGCGTGCACAAACTAGGATGAGACAGGAAGAGAGCTGCTTGTCTGTAGTGCCGGCATGTCACCATCCCAAGCTTCCCTATCTCAAGAGGCTGTTGAACACTCTTTAGAGGCTTTTAATAATAGGTAGGACTGTTTGGCTAGTCTGTCTGGACTGCTTAGATATGGAACTATTTTAAAACCAAATCTGTTTACATTGTGCAAGATTTCCGATTTTTTTTCTTAGTTAAATAAGTATGAACACAAAAATCTGTATTTCAGACTCTCAGAATTATTTTCTGACTTTAAGTAAAGCTATACTATTTGTACTCAAAGTTGACCTTTATTAAGGCCAGAAACGACTATATTCAAACTGGAGATCTCTCCAGTTATTCACACTTTCACCTCTGCATGTGCACTGAAAGTCTTTACCCCATTTCCTGTCTTTTGTGACCATCCTGCGACTTATCAAAATTATGTACAAATTTCCATAGATAATAGGAACCTTTTTTGTCTGGGCTTGTCTAGTACAAATTTACCAGAAAGTTCATCATTTTTGTGACTAGTTGCTTGGAATGCATCAGATAGTTTATGTCATGATAAAAAGGCTTTTGTGTGTGTGTGTGTGTGTGTGTGTGTGTGTGTGTGTGTGTGTGTGTGGTGAAATGGACATTCAAAAGAAGGGAGTGTGCGTGTTAACCAGTCTGACCCTGTTCTACCAGCCTTCCCAAAGCCAACCAACTGCAGATGTGCCTTTTTTCAGTCTCTTGCCTCCACAAACGTTGCCCCTGACCTTCAAAATTATCAAAGTAGTGCATCCTGCAAACTCCCTTCTTAGTGAGAAGTCCTGGTTGGGACTTTGACAGCTAAATAGTGTGCCCTAGTGTCCAAGAGAGCTGCCTGGAAAGCTTCCTGAACCCTGTAAGCTGTCATCAAAGTAGTCTGCACAGATGAATGACATCAGTTGGAAATTTGAAACATGACTTACAAATATAAAACCAGTTGTTTTCAAGAGCCCCAAGCATAGTTATTCTCTTAAATCTTGGAATAGTCTTTATGTGAACTTTTATTTGGGTTTTGTTTTATGGATCCCACCCAGCAATGCTCAGGGATCACTCCTGGTGGCTGGGGAACTAGGTAGTGCCAGTAATTGAACCTGAGTCAGCTCTGTGCAAGGCAAGTGCCCTACCCATTGTACTGTGGCTTCGGTCCCTCAGGCAAAATATTTCTTTTAAAGCACCTTAAATTCAGAGAGGATGGGTAGCTTGTCCAAGGTTCCCAGCACAAGCTGACAGCAGAACTCTGCTCCCCTGTCTATAGGCCATAGGCATTTCCTCTATATTCTACCAGAGCTGAGTTTAAGGTAAGATCAGAATCTATTCATCTGCCTTCTCTTCTTGGCCCTAAGTGAAGTCATATTTCCTTGTCTCCTTGACTGTCACAGCTTTTCTATAACACATAATCCAGTAATGTCTACTCTTTCCCCTTTACTTTTTTATGCGATTATCAATGTTTTTTTAATTATTCAAGAGACTTCAAAAGGATATATAGAAAGCCAAGCTTCTCCCTATCTCTGATTCCCACTACCAGGGTTTGATACCAGCTTGTTTTGTATCCTTCCAGAAATATTCTAGGTTCTATAATAATTGCAATTAATTAGATTAGAAATATAACAAGGGGCTGGAGCGATAGCACAGCAAGTAGGGCGTTTTCCGACCCAGGTTCGATTCTCAGCATCCCATATGGTCCCCTGAGCACTGCCAGGAGTAATTCCTGAGTGCAGAGCCAGGAGTAACCCTGTGCATCGTCAGGTGTGACCCAAAAAGCCAAAAAAAAAAGCCAAAAAA